GGTCATCCTGACTTTTGAGATAACCTAAAGTGATGGGATGAATTGTGGATAATTTAAAAACTCCTGCCCACTCAGTTACAGATATTGAAATATATTGTGTTGCCTTAGAACCTCTTCCAGTCAATATGCCACTGTTTTTTTTTGTTGTTGTTGTTGTTGTTGTTGTTGTTGTTTTTTACAGCAAGTTAATGTGTGTACTTGTCATTTAAATTTGGTCTAAATTTGCTCAAGAATCATGAGAATTATAATAAACTGTCAGCATGGAATACCCAGTCAGTGTTTGAACACTATAGATGAAGGCTTTTGACCCAATTTTCCAGTGTGGCTGCTGGAAACAGTTATAAATACTTTTGATTTCCAGTGTGGTTATACAACATACAACATGTCCTAGTTTGTTTTGAGAATACCCCTGACAAACACTACAGTCAACACAACTTTAATTATAATGAGGCAATAATATAATGAACAAACAAAAAGAAGAGATCCATTCATAATTTTACAGTGTAACATATCTTTTGGTGCTTTTAATCTAGCCCTACTTAAATATCATGAAAGTGACAACTAGAGCTTCACAAAGCACTTTAGAAAGTTTGCAAACAAACTTTACTTAAACTTCATGGAGCGTCATCAAAAATGAAGAATAAAGATTCACATCCTTCTTGTTTTGCTAGCCTATTTTGTCTTACCTTTTCTCTGTCACAGTAATACCACAGCTGGGCCTGTGCTTGGGGGCTGTGTCACTGTGGCAGCAGTGCGTGGGGCAGGGCAGTGTGTACAGCGTCTCTGCTGAAAATGTCCTGATTACACTGTCTACAGCTTACTGCAACATACTGCCTGAAAGGGCCAGACGCATGGCAGATGCAGGTACAGCAACATCTGTGTGTATGTTATACATGTACATGTGTGTGCCATGTTAACATACGTGTTTGTTTTTTAGTGTTCTTGTGTCTGGTTGAGCGAGTGCTGGATCAGAGGTTACCACGGCGAGGTAGCAACAGAGACAAGGTGATGATGACACTGTTCCAGCTGTGGAGTTACATAGATGCCATCGGTATCACTGACATGAAAGGACACATCACTGACCTGGCAGAAGAGGGTATTTCTCTCACTCACACACACACACACACACACACACACACACACACACACAAAGCTAAATGAGTGCAAACAAATCTTTTGATCGGTGAAACTAATTAACAATCCTCCATCAGTGTGGTTGGTGCAGAGGCTGGCATCATGTGACCAGGATGTGATCGTTCACACTTTGCGGCATCCTGCAGAGTGCAGTCTGAAGAGAGAAGGGCTTCATGCTGTGGCCAAATTACTGAAAGACCCACGAGGCAAAGTGTCGGCCTCTGCCAGTTCTGTACTTAGAGGCCTGGCTGCTCAGCCCAGACAGAGAGAGCAGGTGAGAGGCCCCTGCACAGTGTGCATATGTTCTGTATGTATATGTGCACAGTGTTTCTAACACCTGCACCAAAGTCACACTAACAGTAGACCATATTTATTCTTTTTTATTTAACAGGGGAAATGCACAATGCATTTACTGTACCAGATATACAGTAGCTAAGAGCTGATTTTCACCTGCAGCCTCTTGGTGACAGCCACCACCGGTTCTGCAAACGCAGTCCAGAATTCATGTGTGAAAATGCCTAAAGGTAGTAAACACTGTGTACATTCTCCTCCTCAGGCTCTGGTCAGCTGTCTGGAGCTGCTGGAAGATGAGAATGTGGACATCAGAGTCTGTGGATGCAAGGCCTTAGCTTGTCTCAAGGTACAAACATACAGATTTTGTGCTGTTATTCAGAGCTGTTCCACTCTGTCAACATACTATTTTACGGCAACACTGATCTAGTTTATAGCAGGAAAACTGGTCAAATTTGAACAACTACCATGAGATCTTGTCTGTCTGCAGCTTGCTTGTCCTGTATAATAAAATATGCGTTTATTGTACTGACCATTGTATTCCATCTGCTGTCATTCCAGGCCAAAGAAAGCATTGACCAGTTGGTGTATCTTTGTCAGACAGACAAAGAGGAAGTCAGAGATGCTGCTAAACAAGCGCTGCTAGTGCTCGGTATGAATAACCATCATATTTGTTAGAATGACACCTAGACAATACATCTCCTAATTAAACCTTTAGATTAGTGATAAGAAGCAGATTATCTTACTGTAACTATGGTAGTAGGGAGGTTTTGAACAAGCTGAATTCTAAATAAAGACCAAGATTCTATGGATAATTTATAAAGATGTCTCACCTGCATCCCAGCATTTTTGTCAGTGCATAAAAAGTTTGGTAGTAATAAAAATAAGAGCCTTATTGAGGAGTAATTAGTCTTAAATGACATACAGTAGGTTGAGTTGGTTCAAATGTATATATGTATTAATTTTACACACAGATAATGCCCTTTGCTGCTTCTTATCTATACTAAATTTAACTGTGGTGACACATCCATTCATTTTTTTATTTTTTATTCATATGTTTTTGACATAAGACAAAAATTAAGGCAGAAATAAAAAAAAATTTGGACACACTTTCCCAATGAATTTGAATGGGAAAGTGCATCCAGATGTTTGACTGGTAGTGTTAATTCCTTGTTTTCTACTATCTGACAGAGTCCATTACAAATGTTTCTGGGGAGGATTACTACATTCCATTATTCAACTGTCTGTTATTTTTTCACTTTTTCTTTTTCTTTCTTTCTCTGTTGTTGTTGTCCTTCCATTCATTGTGTGGAGCAGGCGAGGAGGGGAAGATGGCCCACAGGCATGTGGAGACGTCTCACGACAGCATACCAAGGCTCTTTGCTGTTGGAGGCATGGCCAGCACAGCCTTCTAATATAACACATACACTGGGCTGGAACAACACAAAAACAGTCAGCAACACTATAGCAGTGTTGTGTTTTGGCAGTACTTAGACACAATGCCATGAGAATAGGCCACATGCTGCTTTTCTATATCATTTCTACCACTAAAATATACAAAGACAAATATAATATACAGTAATACATAAAGTATATACACTGTCAGAGGTGTTGCAATAATACTTACATGAAGGACAGCAACTCTACTTAACACTGGAAAAACATTGTCAGTAAGATGCAAACATAATGTAACAGTTTATGTTTATTAACCTGTGCTATCAACCTATTGTGAGAAAATCAGTTGGACTGTAAATATGCAGGAAAGAATATACAGTTTGAGCAGGATGAAAACTGAATGGAAGAATGCATAATGGAAGGATTAAAAGCATAAAATGGATGCTGAGGGAAGAAGATGGGGATGAATTAAGAGGACAGGGAGGAACACGTCTGTGTTGACATGAATGGTATATTTTAGATAGATTACTAGATTTACCATTGCATCTATGATGTTCAATGGCCCAGACACACAAATATTTTGAGGTAAGTTAGCAAAAATCTAGAAAGTGATTTATAGTTCTTCAGATAATTTCCATTTTTATTCCCTACTATGTGCCAAAAGTGTACAAAATTTCTTGTTTTTTTTTTTTAAATCAAAGTGAAATTACTTTGACTCTCCAAAAAACTGGTTTTGAGAGTTTACACAGAGTGATTATTCCATTGCAGGACTTGTGATTAATATGCTTACTCTAGAAAGTCACTTTCGGCTTTTCCCGTTTAGGGGTCGCCACAGCAAATCGTCACACTGATGACATTTAGCATGTGTTTTATGCCGGATGCCCTTCCTGATGCAACCCTGATTCGAACCCTGGGTGCAGCAGCGAGAACACTGCGCCTTAACCACTAGCCTACCAGGGATGGCTATGTGATTAATATGCTTACTAAAAATCAAATACACTACGTTAAGCTAACTTTAGGAGTAAGATGGCTACATACTGTGTATATGCATCAAATGAGGTGTAACATAGAGTGCGTAGGTATGAGGTTCCAATCCTAAAATGCACACCCACTTGAAAGGTTCTGGTTGGAGCACAAGTGAGGATATCAGGCTCAGATATGACTCAAAGACCATGGTGTTTATGGCATACAATGTTTATTCATAATGCAAGTGAAGTCTTTGGTCAATGTGAAGAGTACAATAAATTAGGTATTCTGTTTCTAAACTGATTATACACTGTAATGCCTGAGAACGAGTGTACATTATCTGCACCCTATAACTCTACAAGGCTAACATGAGCTTACTTGTATTTATCTTTTTTCAATCCCATTTTACAACCCCAAATCAGATAAAGTTGGGACAGTGAAGCTTTTACCACGGTATGATGTTACCGTTCCTTTTCACAAAACTTAAAGATGTTTAGGGACAGAGGACATGTGATTAAACGTGTCAGGTGCCATTGTTTCCCATTCTTCCTGCAAACAAGTCTTAAGGGGCACAACAGTCCTGGGTCTTAAATGATGCAATTTGTGTTGCATTCTTTACTGGGGACAGGTGGGGACTGCAGGCAGGCCAGTCCAGCACTCACACCCCTTTCCTCCACAGCCAGGCCTTGGTAATGTGCACTATTAGGTTTTGCATTGTCTTGCTGAAATATGCATGGGCGTCCCTGGAAAAGACGTCGTCTTGAAGGCAACATATGTTGCTCCAACATCTGTCTGTATTTTTCAGCAGTAATGTTTCCATCACAGAAGTGTAAGTGACCTTTGCCAGTGGCACTGACGCAGCCAGACCATGACAGACCCTGGCTTTTGGACTTGTTGCTGGTAAGAGTCCAGATGATCCTTTTTGTCTTTGGTCCGGAGCACATAGCATCAATTCCTTCCAAAGACAACCTGAAAGACTGATTGGTCTGATTAGACTTGGCCCTTTACACACTGAAATCCCTCCAGATTCCTTGAACCTTTTCATTATGTTCTGTAGAGGGTGACATATCCAAATCCCGTCCTTTATTTCTTTGAGGAACATTATTTTTAAACATTTTAATCATTTTCTCATATTTACAGTATGTTGGCAATCTGGTTGTCCTCGGTCCATCTTTGCTCCTAAAGGACTTGGCCTTTCCTGGATGCCACTGTTGTACTAAGTCATGATGCAGTCACCTGTTGACATCACCTGGTTCTCATGGAATCATCATTTCATTGTTTTACCTCATTACTGGCCCTGAAATGCAGTAATGCAAAGTCTCAACTTTGTTTGGAATGTGTTGCAGCATCAGAATTGAAGTGAGTGTTTTGAATGAACAATAAAATGAATGAGCTATCACATCAAATAAAGTGCTGCTATATCATTTCCAATGTAATACACAACACCGATGATTTACAGATCACTATTTTCAGTTTTAATTTTGATTTTACATAGTGTCCCAACTTCTGATTTGGGGGTTTATCATATGGATAACAATTTTATCATTAGTAGTTAAAGACATTTAAGAGTGAACTCCAAGGACACATGACTTAGATTAAGTATCATTTTTACTTATTTCACCTTTTGATACAGGATGAAAGTTCTGCTCTACAAACATACACATCAACAAGCTCCCAGAAAAATGCCTCTCTGTACTGTTAATATTAGGTTGCAGAATAGCAAAATTGCCAAGAAAAAGTTTGTTTTCTGTTGAAATGAATAGTTTTCTCTTAAAATGATAGGATCACAGTAGAACAAAGGCATCACTGTATTATTTTTAACTTGGCTTAGCTTGACTACAGCGTGCCATACTGTAGCCTACATAACATAGGTAGCATAGAGCCTCAATTTGTGTGGTGTACACTCGGACAATTTGTATATAGTCCATCAATCATAACTCATCTCAACATTTAAAATTTAACATTATTTCTCTACATATGCATTAGTAGCAGGAAAATATATAATTTTCTTTAAAACGCTCAGAACAAATTTTGCTGGATTGTTTGAAAGATGCCAGGCTGCTTGGGGGAATGCCGTCATCCAAAGTCTGAGGCATTTTGGGTCATTTAAAGGGAAAGTGTAATATGATCTTTTAATATTTTGAGCCTTATCTTTCTCAGATTAATTTGTACAGCCTGGAGCAGTACAGAATTTTACATCCAACAAGATGTGGTATTGCTGTTTTTTCATAAATGTCTGCTATACTCACTATACCAGAACCTGTCTGGGTGCAAGGCAAATGGGATTTTTCAATAGGCTTTGGGATCATTGCAAAAAATAAGCTCTGTGTCAAATAATGGTTTGTGAGCACTGTGTTTATGATTTTTGAAGCCCAAATACTGTATAGGTGAAAATGCAGAGGAAGTCATCAGGTCCACACGAGTGCACTGAAACTCTCACTGACTCACTTAAAAGGAAAAAGTTTTATTTGGTTCACAAAATACAGAACTTATTGAACTAATTCATATGACTTCCTATTTCACTGCAGTAAAAACATGAGACTGTGAACTTGTTACGCTCAACAGGGACAGTACTGGTTTCAATAGGATAGGTTCAGTTTCAGTTTGAGGGTTATTGGTTGTTCTAATCGCCATTCCTCTCCATTATGGCTGTAACCTTTGCAGCGTGTAAAAAGTCTACTGTGATAGCATCCACCTGGCTGCATCCCACTGTGGCCCTGGTCTTTCTCCAAGAACTACCCATTTTCTGCATCTTTGTAATCTCAATAATTAATTCATACAAACAGGGATGACACTGCACACTCTGAGACAGTCAGTCATTGAAAACATTCATGGTGTTTCTATTTATTAACAAAGGTGGTTGTGTGGAATTAAAGAGGAGAGCTCGACAGACACCCTTCTTATTTTCACACCCTCTTAAGATGCTACTAAGACTAGTTATGTCTAAAGATTTGAGACTGTAAAAAAAGCTGCTTATGCACAGACAATAGGTTAAATAATTCAGTGCCATTATGCTTTACAATTATGACATTTTGTATTCTTTATGGAAATACATATGAGTATATGCTACTGGAATTCAATATCCTGTCATTGTGTTTTGTTTTTATCTATCAGAGTCTTCATTTGTAAATGTTACCTTATTTATGAGATGCATTTCACTGTTATAATGGCACAGTATATTTTCAGTCATTCACCCAGATTGATGATCTGTTTCACTGCGTGACAATACTATCTGTGGCACAGTACAACTGACATATCTGCAATTGAACTTCAAACAGTGAATCATTGGAGATATCTGGCTTTTAGAAAGAATATGTATTTACATTTGTTTGTGTTAACTATTGGCATGCATTGATTTGGAATATTTAAAATAAAACTGGATTGAATTTCAAGTAAATTGGTCCAATACATGGATCGATCATAAATTATGAGAGGGTCACACCAGTGTTTTAGAACATTTGTCATTTCAACATGCAGTGAAATTGCACTGGCAATTTCTCTATTGTGGTAAGAAAAGAAAGAAAAACTATCATATCTTGAATATTTTTAAATAGCTAAACATAAGTTAAACAAAATATGAGTATACAGGTGCAGCTCAATAAATTAGAATATTGTGGAAAAGTCCATTTATTTCAGTAATTCAACTCTAATAGTGAAACTCGTGTGTTATATAAATTCAGGACACACAGACTGAAGTAGTTTAAGCCATTGGGTCTTTTAATTGTGATGATTTTGCTCACATTTAACAAAAACCCACCAATTCACTATCTCAATAAATTAGAATATGGAATATAGAATAATAATGCGACCTAATTAAAGCTAAATAGATGTTCACACTGAAAGACTGCTAAACTCGAGCAAGTGTGACTTAATTCTAACTTGATAATCAGTGTTGGGGAATAACTAGTTACTATAATAAAATTACAAAATAAATGTAATTGCAATCAGTTACAGTTACTGAGAAAAAATATGTAATTAAATAAGTCATTCATTTTCTACCGCTTAATCCCTGAGCGGGGTCACGGGTGGGGCCGGAGCCAATCCCGGCCGGCAATCGGGCGAAGGCGGGGTACACCCTGGACAGGTCGCCAATCCATCGCAGGGCTAACACAGAGACGAACAACCAAATTAAATAAGTAACTAATCAAAATGTTGGTAATTACAAAGGAATTGCATCTGAATGTATTATTTTGAGTAAAAGGCTTAGAATAATATTCATTTTGTTATTTAGCATCATTTTGCCATGCAGAATGCCTTTTAGCATATTTCTGGACAACATGGGTCTGCAAAGCCGTTGAGACAAGATTTATTTAAGTACAACACCATCAAGAGAAAGGTGTCTCTATGTCTAAACAGGCTCCATTCATTTGGCAACATGCATTTACATGTGAACATTGCTTTTGATTGCTTCTCTTGTTTGATTTTGCAATGTCTGTAATCTGTCAGTCAAATCAACGCATACTGCTCTAAGCAGTCTGGCTGCAACCAGTCGACAGCACGAAGGTGGGTGGTCATGTTGTCAGAAAACAAAACTTTTCACTGCTGGAAATTCAGCAGTATTTTCTGTCTGAAATCAGAAAAGGGTTTTGCTTGGTGCATGTTCAGTAGGCTGCATGTTTCAATAGTAAACTGTTTTGTAACTGAAGTTGCTGTATGCTGAAAAACCTTTAATAAAAGTTTGACAGTAATAGGTGTCAAGTACTGCTGTGAGGTTTACACTGCCTGGTTTAAGTTTATGTCAGGACATTTCAGCTTTACTGCCCAGTACTGCCCAGAGAATTCGACCGATAATCGAACCTCGGATTCAGGAGGAACAATGCGGTTTTCGTCCTGGCCGTGGAACACTGGACCAGCTCTATACCCTCTTCAGGGTGGCGGAGGGTTCATGGGAG